GGTAACTTACCAATGGTAACTTAACTAGGGTAACTTACCAAGGGTAAGTTCAACTTACCGGAAAACTGCTATGTCTGAGATGGCTAAAATTTTAAGTAAAAGTCTCATTCTTTGATCTCCGTTCTTCGTAGATCCTAATAGCCCTTCTGTATCCAAACATAAAACTTCAAGGGCTGGCTGATAGGCCGCCCAAACACCTTTGAAAGAAATAACCCGTTTATTTATACAAAAAATAGTTATTTTTATAAAACCAAACCATTCACCTACCTAGTGTGCACGATTCTTGAGATGGGGATGTTCGAAAAATTTCCTCGCCATCGAAGAATATATGATTCATTGTATGGCCTAAATTTCGATAAATTGAACAAACTTGATGAATTTCACTCAGGTGGGAGGGTAATAACCTTGGCTATGGGATCCGCTGATCACGAATCAGGCTTTTTTTTTTGCGAAAATGACAATAAAAACTGAGATGTCACGGGTCAACGTTGAAGTATCAAAAATGGGAAAAATTTGGATTTTTTTTATCTTTAAGGTTCAATAGGTGGTCACTAATGATTGAGATGGCATAAAATACACTACACTTTCAGTATTGCTTATTTTTGTTGGTGGAGTTAAACTAGTTTTTATAATGAATTTCCCAAATTATTTGTGGAAAATTCAATTTTGTTGCATTTAAATCACAATTTTCATTTCTTTTCAATCAAAACATCTGTCCTATTTCAATGACTGAATTCGATCAATTTTGACAATATAAACAATATCAATGCTGTTTGAAAGCGTTCTGGCCTGATTTGCGCATTGCTATACTGGCCGAGGTGAATGTATGTTTTCAACTCGCAATATAAAACGGATCATTTTATGAAAAACCAAAAGTGACATTCAATTGGGAAATCGTATAGAAATACACAACTCGTATAGAAATGTTGGAAAAACGCTGGACTAAGTGTCCATCGAGCTAAATGGAGACTATGTTGAAGAATAAAATAAAATTTTGCCAAAATTCAAGTCCTTTCATTTCCATTCCGGATCATTATCAAACCACGTAGTATCACAGCAAAAGCCAAATCAAGACTGGCTTAGTTAAAGTTCTACAGCAGGGATTTTATCGACCCATGAACAATTAAACGACTTTATTTTACATTTGTATTACCATTCCAATTATCTTTCGAAATATGAGATGATATGTTAAACTGAGCAGTTACTGAGGATTGAAAAATATTTAAAACAAAATAGATGAATTGAAAACATAAATGAAATTATTTATATTAATTAAAAATTATTATTTATCTCTTTCAAAACTGCTTTATGTAAGAATTTAATTATATTGTATTTTTTTTTTTTTTTAAATAAACCACCAAGGCGAAGGAACGCCGTTCGGTGCAGAGATTATTACTTATTGCTAAGAAAGTTTCAAAAATATTATAACTTTTGTCATTTTTCTGAATTTTTTACTTTTCCGCACACCTAGTGTAGGGAAGGTATTGTATTAGGCCAAAAAATTAAAGTCATCCCAAAACATGTTTTCTATGCATATTTAATGTAGAAAACACGATTGGAGATGATTTTGGGGCACATTAATGTGCGTCGCTGTGTGTGATGTGTCCTGTGTCCTGTGTCCTGTGGCGTGTTGCCAAAATTTGTTAACTCGATATTTTTTTTTCCAAAAACTCAATTCAAATTCTGTCTTTGCATCCTGCATTTGGGACTACTAGGAGACGTGCTGATTAGTTTTTGAGCAATGTCTGTTGACCGGTGTAATTTTTTTGGGTCCGAATGGACACAATCCATACATTTTACTTTTTTGATCATTTTTCAACCATTTTGGTGACACGATGGTTTCGTGCTCAGACATGAAATTCAAAATCTGACTTTACGGGATGATTGGGCGTATACATAGACCATCATTTCTGTTTATTCCCAAAATTTCGGTTCCATGCGGAAAAGTCAGCTTGCGTACGTAAGCCTCTTTATTCTTTAAGGGCTTCATTTGGTACTAAAAATGAATTTCGACAAAATTTGTGTTCAGAAGTAAATAGTTCTGAAAATCAGGATTTTTGTAAATTTTTATTGAAATGTTGCTCTATAGTGAAGGTATCCATTTTTGAGTTTGAATGAATTTTGATACTTAAAATCTTTATACCTTCCACAAAAATTCAAGAATATCCAAATTTTTCCAATTTTTGATACTTCGACGTTGACTCGTGACAACTCAATTTTTATTTTCTTTTTCGCAAAAAAAACGTCTGATCGTGACACCAAGGCTATTACCCTCGCCGGTAAAATGATTGAAAAAAAAAAAAAAACAGTTGGAAAATAACTAAATATAGTTGGAAAAAAAAGCAGAAAAAAAGAACTATTTACTCTTCCCGTCTCCTGTATTTCCAAAAATCGATATCACTTTCATTTTCGAATCTAGTGTGCATCCCAAACGTTTAGCAAATATTTCTGGTGTATTGACGCGTAATTCTTCACAACCGTCAAGTACCAAAAAACTTTTTTCGTAATGAATATTAATCGATTTCAATTCATCGACCGTATGTTTTAGCTGTCCATTTTTATTGGGAAATGGCATATGCGATTTGCATTCTGGTGATGTCCTAATTATGTACTCGTCTTCATTCGATGCGATTGAGGTAATTTTCATTTTTGTTGCCAAAAATCGTTCACTTGTTTGATTTTTTATTGTCGCCGTATGTAGTTGAGCACTACTGTTGGCCAGTCTGACCTGCCGGTGATTTGACACAAACATATCGTCCTCGCAATCTGATGTTGAATTCAACGCATCCTGTAAGTCAGCCTGTGAATTTATTGTCAGAGATAAAAATTCATTTCACTTTTTAAATAGAAATTTATTGAAATAGTTTTGACGCAATACTTTATGTCAAAAGTCGAACGAACAATCGAGAAATCGCATGTGAAATTTTAAAAATAAATAATACATCTAGGGAAGAGATGATTTTTTAATTGTGTAAATTAAAAGTTGATAATGCAATAGAATGTAATGATAAGAGTTTTGTATAAACTCAAGTATCGACAAACATTTATAGAAGCTTAATCGTAGTTTTAATCAATTGTAAACAAAACATCAATTTATATCAGAAGTTTATTGAACACTTAGTTTTATTATTCACTTTTCTTGTAAATTTGATTATTAATGTCTTATCGATTCTATTTCAATACATATTCAACGTCATCTTAACGTCTCAGTGGAATGTGATATTTTGAATTTTAAACATAATGCGATATAATCATCACTACTACTTACTACACTTATAAGTGATGGGGTTTCCTCGATTGGTTCCATAATCGAGGATGGAATTGATGGTGGTGCATTCGATTTGGAACTGAAACTTGTGTCATTGGTCATGACTGGTATTTTTTTTCTTCAAGTTCTCTCGTTAAAATTTTGAAATTTATTTTTTATACACTTCTCCACTAGTATCAAACCCACCAAACTGCATTAGAAAAGGAAAAAATATCGAACATTTACAAATTTAAAAAACACTACTACTATTGATTTGTATGTATTTTCATTGCACAATAAAGCGTGTCTTTGACCACAGAGCAGAAAGTGAAGTAACAGATATATGCGTCTCATTGCTATTAGTCACCAGTTGTCAATGATTGATAATTTCCAATGTTTTTATAAATTCCAAAGTTCAAATTTGCAACACATTTCAAACGAAATAATCATTTAGTGTGAAATACAATTTATACACTTAAAACTCGCCAATTTAAATTACGTATTACATTTGGTGACGATATTTTTCGTCGGCTTCGATGTGTTTCCGTTTATCATTGATTGTTTTTCAATCTTTATTTTATTGATCACTTTTCACTTTGTGATAATTATTTGCATATGCAAGATGGCGTGTAGCTTTTGAATAACCAAAATTTTGTTTTATAAAATTATCGTTTTAATTACGTTCGAAACGCTCAACAAATTTCACATTCAATAATGTCATCACCGAGTAACATAATTGTTTGGACATAACACCACTTTAACTTAATGCAAATAAAGCGTAGTTCTTTTCTCTACTCGATTCGAAAGGCGCGAACATATATGACAAAACTAAAAACAAACAAAACAAAAGAAAAACAACGAGAAGAACGAGATTAATTTTGGTGCTTGTTACTGAACCAGATGCGTTTCAATGTTAATGTATGAATGACATTGTTTGAGGACCGCGTGTATTGGTGTCTAGTTATGTTCATAAAGAGTAGGTGAAGAAATTTTATTATGAAATTTATATCACTTTATTTATTTACAGCTTACACATACATTTGGCAATGCACACTCAAAGCGCAAAATTCTTAATAGTATGGTTTTTTATTCAATCAATACACATATCAATGTGAGGTTTGTTTACACTAACATCATACGTAAATGGAGACAACAATCATAGCAAGAACAACAAAGAAATAAGAGTAAATAAGAAGCCTTTAAATTTCATTGGATGTATGTGTGTTTTTACTAATTGTGCAAGTTTTCAAAGTGGAAACTTATTACTCATACTCATATTTTTGCTAAACACATATAATATAAATGCTTCCGTTTTATTTGCGTTGGACGAAGTTGTCTATAACAATAATACACACACCATTTGACTGACTTCAACTTGCTTTGCGTCACGTTCACATTTATGATACTGGTATTTTTCACGCATTGAATGATTTTTGTTTCCTATTTGATTTATTGTGTGGTTCTATTTATGATGAGACTGGTAACATTTTAATCCTAATTTTTTAATGAATGTTCACAACGCACTTGATTATACATGAAGAATACTGCAACACAAATATACTTCTAAATGGTTTTCTTTGTTCTTTACCAAAAATAGGCTGATCAATTTTTCTACACAGATCAAATTGCATTCCACTGATGTTGATTCAAAACTTTTCGAAATACGATAAAATAACTTCTTAATTATTTTAAACGGGTTTTGCTCACAAAAATCATATATCTTTTTCTTGTTTTAACTCGGAGAAAAACAAGACTGAATTGAATGTGTCGTCATAAATTCATCTGTTTTTGTACTCACCAATATTTATATACTCGACAAATGACTTGTATCTACACATCAAAACCGTTCAACAGCACAAGTGTACCTATCATACTCTTTTTCCTTGAATTATTGTACTAAATCGACTGTTTGATTTTATAAGATTTATTGATTTCATATTTTTTTTATTGTTTTCCGATAAAATACAACGCACTTTTAATTGTTTCTTTGAAAATATGCAACATTTTTTTTCGAACGAAGAATAGGGTTTTTACACAAAATTCACGTGAAATCTAGTACAACATTTTATTTGTTCTGTTGTCAACAACAATGCTGATGTGTTTTATTTGTATAAAAAAACGTAAACAGTGGCCTTCAATTCGGTATTCAGTGCAACAAGGTGTCATTCGGGGTTGGTTAATACTATTTAAAAGCACGGAATTACTTCATCTTCATCAAGTAAGTCGATTGAATTTCCGGTACTCTTATTACCTTTGAAGAATAGTGTATAATCTTTGAAAAAGAAAAAAATAGCATTAGCCGGTATGTAGTTTTCATGTGAACTTTTATGACTATTGAAAACATGCCACATAGGCTATTTTGTGCTCACTACTTGTAATACTTACCTCGATTTTTTTATAGGCCATGAAATAGGCCATGTCATTTAAATCTATTTAATTTATTCTCAAAAAAACTGTTTGTTTTCTGTATATATGGTGATATAGATGAAAATCACCTGTTGCAAATACGTTAATTGAAATACGATAACTAACTTCTGTATATTTTCAAACTCGCAGCTTCTCCAGAAAAATTAATCATTCAAAATGAGGCAGTTGAAAGGTGGCAAACGTGACGAAAGCAGGAAAGAAAAAAAAGAACGACGAGCTCTCAATCGAGAAATCCAATCCCAGTTTACAAAAATTGTTCTGCCAACCATTATTGGAGTGGTTCTTTTTATTATTGCATATGTTTATTTAAAGACGCGTCCATTATGAGTCAGAATTAAACATAATATATAACATAACGAATCTATTTATAAAAAGTGCAAAATCATATTATTAAATAGCCAATTTTTTATAAAGAAAACTGTACAAATTTTCAATTTGCTTATTAATTTTTTGAAATATCATTTATCTACATTTCGAATGCAGGATTAAAGCCATAAAATGTGTTACACTCACAAAAGATGACTGATAAAATATGAATATCATTTATTGGTTCGATTAAGAGCTAACAAAAAACATAAACATTTGTAACGCAACAAAAAAAAAAAAAAGAATAAAAAAGTAGTAGTTTTAATATTTATATGAGTTGTATATTTTACATGGACCAAAATGTGCTCAGCTTGAATTGATACAACATAGCAGAATTTTTTTATAGAATTCATATTAACTTCAATATATAAAGAACGATGCTTGATTATTATTGCTCCGCTTCAGGGATTGTCGTCAATTTTTTCCTCCACGATCTATTTCAATTGAAAATTTAATGAAAATTTGTATTGCCCATCAAAATCTTAGTTAGTAGACATTTTGGCAGTTGATTTTGATTTTTGATTATTCTCCGAAATTAAGTTTAGTATAAAGAAAAAAGAATGTATCATCAACGCAAATTCATTCAGTATAGTATTAGTTTTCGTTTATCAAAATTATTTGGGCGGACTGATGCGAATGAATAATAATATGATAAAAAAGTTTTAAAATCTATAGATCCACTCCATATATAGATTATATATAGTGGAGAGATATAATTTTAATTTTGAAAATGCCGGCAATTAATGATGGAATTATGGATCGCCATTCCTTAGACTATTCTCGCTAGAAGCTATGGAAGTACTTGATGTCGATGAATTTTTCATTCTATGAAAAAAATAATATTATATTTATGATTAAAAAAAATAAAATTGATTATTTTTAATTTTTAAATTGATTATTGATTGATAATTTTTCAATTTCTGCCTTTTATTTTATTTTTTCACATTTCATTTGCTGGCATGTCAAGATTTTGTCGTAAAGGAATACCGATTTACATGCTCATGTGCTTTGAGGGCCTTGTTTCGGCCATACGCATGGGAATTGGAACCAAAATGAGCATCCAATATTTGTGTCCGTAAGAATATATGGCAATACAAAAACGGAATCTGAAGAACGTTACATAATTTTTTTTTTGTATGGAGTTGTAAAAAAAATTTATGTAACGTTCTTCAGATTCCGTTTTTGTATTGCCATATTTATTCTTACGGAAACATTTCTAGCAGTTCAAATTTCATCGCAGAAAGCTAAACGAAATGTGGGAGTACGCCAAGATACAAAGTTACGCATTTATGTATATAACTGGGTTGGTATGGATTACTTTGATAGATAATCTACATTTTGTAAATGAAGATTACTACCATGTAAATTACATTTTTTTCATGTAATGTACAAAATTTGTAGATTATTCAATTTTAGCTAACAAATATAAAGATGCAAAACATATCCATAATGATGATCATCATCGAATTATTATTGAAATAAAATGAAAATATGGATTTTGAGGTTATATATATATAGCTTCAAATGCCATAAATTATGGCTCATAATGGGGACGGCTAATTTTCAGTAATGTGGTATACATATATTTTGGACAGAAAATGGCATCATTCGATAGCTCACTACAAGACCTTTCCAACGAAATGCATATGTTCGGAGTGTGTCACAAGGAGGCAACTTGGTGACCGTAGGGTCAAAAGTCAAAAAGTGACTTGTGGAGTCCGGCGGCCAAACCGAAAAGTGCCATAAACAAAAAAGTCTTAGTTTTTTATGTTCTTTAATCGCAGTATGTTTCAAAAAGATTAAATTCGAGTACACAAAATTGGCCACAGACACACTGTGTGTCACACACAGCACATAGACAGACATTTTGATATTTCATAGAGATTTCATATAAAATTTGTAAAATGCGGAATTTTTCGAATGGATTGGTCGACTTTGACGTTTGGAGTATCTTTGAAAAGGTATTAAGCTCTAGAATCAGAATATCGATGTTTCAGGGATCAACGACCTCATTTAGTGCTATCTATGGCCTTAGAACTGAATTTTGACCCTTTTCTTGAAGGTATCATATTCTGAAGACAGGTAGACCCATTTTGACATTTTTTCTTGATCTATGTTTTCCAATCGTCATTATATCAATCGGGGTCAAAGGCCTTCTAGGTCTGGATTTCAAATATTTCGTGTATATATAGCGAGTCTTTCAACACACTAATGTGGTTTCGTCACTCGCGCGAACTGCTGTCCGCTGTAATGTTCGATTGTCTGAAGCAATGGGTTCTTTTTGAATTTATAGGCGGGTGTGCCTCTTTTTGGCTCTAATCGAGCTTCCCATGAAGCCACATTTTTGCCCATTTAATGCTTATAAATTTATAAAAATTGTGCAAAAATATATATCTATTTCGTGGAAATATATATGCCCGATTTCTACTATAAAGTATAATCTAAATCAGGCTTATATGTTTGGTTAATTTGAATATAAATAATAAATATTCGAATCGACCAAAGATATATACCTGATTTCGGTTATATTTTAAAGTAGAAATCAGGCGTTCACATTTTTTGAAGTTACTTTTGAGAATCTTTGTATGTTGTCCTGAAGGAGAATGGTAAATTTTCTTTAAAAAAAAGATAACAGAAAATCTCAACGCTAATATCTGATTTTGATACTTAAATATAACCGAAATCGGGCATTGAATTTTCAGTACGAATTCGAAAAAACATATAGCACGATGTCAACCATATTTGAATATCAAAATCAGGCATAAATATTTATCTATGGAGAAGGTGAAATTTTTTGCCTTTTATTATCACTATCTTTTTATAAAAAGTATGCAAAAAAATTTAAGTGCTAGATGGGTTTAAAAGATGGCACGATTTTATATGTTATTTTTTATAAAATTCGTACAAAATGACATTTGGCACGAATTGGATTTAAAATCTCTATATTTTTCGTGTGAATCTCGGGTGGTCTTTATAATGCTTCGGGTTGCCCATTGGGATGAACTGGGAACATCTTCACAAAAAAATCGAATCAGCTCAAACAAATGGAACATATCAAATAAATTTACCATCTAAGGTTTATAAAAATGATTTAGTTTGAATGTAAATCAATTTGATCACTGATTAAGAAAACGTTAATTAGTGAAAAAAATATTATATTTATAATACAATACAAAAAAAAATATTTTTTACTAATGTTTTCTTAATAGTTTAAATGTTATGAGTTTGTTGTTTTTCAGAGTCTTTCAAGCTCGTTAGCATGCTCGTTAAAGCACACAAAATTTATTTGTTTTATAATTACGCATAAATTACCTTGAATTAAAACCATCTTCTTCAAATTCATCTAGAATAACATTATTCTTCGATTGTATATTCCGACGTGCTAATATTGCAGATGTTTCATATTGCGAATCTTCAGATGTATCACTTGAATCACTAAAGAGCATCACAGAAAAAGCAACCAATGTTTTCATCAATGAAGAACCACATTCACTTAATAAATAGAAAGTTTGATTATTACCTTTGAGTCGAACCATCATCATCATCGTCGACGTCTTCCATTGCTTGCTGTAAATCGGCAATTCGTTGTAATGCCAAACGAAGGTCATTTTTTAAAGACGAAATTTCAGATTGTGCATTTTCGTATTTCTGTTCCATATCTTTACCTAGGGAAGTTTCAAATAACAAATGTGACGTGAACAAATAATCAAAATAACCAACTGAACCAATGGTAATAATAGAAAAATATTCAATAATAATTATTAAATAATAAATTTACGTTTTGCCATATGATCGCTCTCACGATTCGCAAGCTGATTGGATTCTTCTCGCAACTCTCTATGAAAAGGAATTAATATTTTTTTCATTTATTTTCTTGGTTTTTTTCACTTTTAGTGATTCATAAAAAGCGTTGCAAAAAACAAGCAAATGTTGGTTCTTTAAATGAAACAGAATTCAATATTTTTAAACGTACCTCAGCGACTTTTGAACTTTTTTCAAAGAATCTTGTGCAATTTGTTCTTTGGCTTTTGTTTGTGACGCTTCCTGTTGTGTCTTGTCCAGGGCATCTCTATACCTATTGAATTGAACCTCGAGGCGCGATCTAGTTGTTTGCTCCAATTCCAAACGTGATTCCAGCTCTTTTACTTTCATTTCCAATCTGTAATAATTACCATACCATTGCCAGTAACGATTTCCATACCTTGACATTTTTTTAAAAAAACTTACCGTTTAGTTTGAATATTTGTCGACGTATCTGTGATACTTTCAACATTTTCTAAACGAGTTTCCAGATCTTCAACTTGCTCTTTCAGTGAGTTTCGCTCTGTTTCAAGCTCAACTATCCTTATTTCACTCTGGGCTATTGTTGATTGTTCCAAACTTAGTTGTTTCACAACGCTTGAATATCTCTTCAGAAGTTCGGCCATTTCTTCTTCATTTTCTTCGAATTGAATTTGTAGTTCACCCTTTTCGCGTTGAGCCTGAGCTGCTTTGGTTTCGGCTTCATTTCTGCTTCGATTCGCATCATCCAAAATTAGTTGAAGATCGGTCAATTCAGTTTCAATGGTATTTTTCATTTTCACAGCAATGGCTCGTGCTGTTTCACTATCTTCAATTTGATTTTTTAATTGACGTACCAAAATTTTGCTTGGTGAATCGGCTTTCATTCGTTCAATTTGCGCTTGGCAATCTTTTAGTAGAGCCTTATACCTGAAAGGTGGGGGAGAACAGCAAAAGAAAAGAATGTAAATATATTAGAATTAATGCATGAAGATTATTGAGAATGATAAAAATAAAAAAATAGCGCTTTTACTTTCTTAAATCACGCTTCAATTTTTGATGAGCTACATCTTCAGCCGCTCGATCAACACGATCTTGTTCTTCGACCGACTTCAAACGACGCTCCAACTCATGTTTCTCGCGCAGTAAAAGCGTTCTTTCTTCGTGTTCTGTTTCTAGTTGGCACTCGAGTGCTTTGATCCTCCTTTGATTCGTTCCACGAATTTCCTCTAATTCATCATCCCTTTGTTGATTTTCACGGCGTGCTTCCTTTCGCATAGTTTCCAATGACATTTCTAGACGTAGTTTCGCTTGCTCCAACAAAGAAATTTGACCAGCCATTTCATCGAGTTCTTCTTCTTGTTCTTTGCACAGTTTTTCTGCTTCTATTTTGGTCTTTTTCAATTGAGTAAATTCTTCTTCGCTTCCACCGACATGTGTCATTTCTTCAATTTCACTTTTTAATGATGATATAGATTCTTCTTTGATGTCAAGCTCAATTCGTGCATCCTAAAAAAAGTTTGTGTGTCCAATAATAAAATCTTGTTGTTTTAATATAAATGTTAAAACTTACAGCCAACTGCTGTTCTAAGTTGAATTTTTCGGCAATCAACACATCCTTTTCTCGGCTCAAGCGCTCTTTAGATTGCTTTTCTTGGCGTACAGCATCCTGCGAAAATAAATATATGCGTTAAACAATATTTCATATAAAAAACAATTGTACAGGCGTGTCAAAAATTTTCGGGCCTGACATATAGAAGGTAATAATTACGAATTGTTCTTGTGCTGTAATTGAAGTACGAACTGTCACTAATATAGCAGAAAAAAATTGAGTTGATATCTGTCATAGTATATTTTCTACAGCATGGCATACCAAGCAACCTCGATATTTTTAGAAAAATGGAAAAAATCAAAAATCATGTCGAGATTTGATATTTCTTAAAAGATGGTACATCATCAAACGATTTCAATCGCTTCTTGCGTGCAGTTCATGGGGACCCTCCTTCGTCGTATACCATAGTCAAACATTAAGAATAACCTCTGCAGTTGTACAGAGATTATTGAAAGGTGACTCTCACACTTTTGCTTCAATAGTGAGAACAATTCTAAATCTGATGGCCCCAAATCGAAGTGTCGTTCATGAAATATTCCAAATTCTCAAGGGCACGTTAGCTGCGACCCTCAGCATCACAGCAGACAGTGTCTTTAATATACCACATGATAAATGTTGCTTGGAGAAAGTTTGTTCGCGAACATTCGAAAAGTCTTTGAATTTTTTTTGACAGATGAACACTTTTCTCTTTGTGATGGATTTCTCATGCTTCTGGAATGTGGTGAATAAATCAATTGTAGTTGGCAATGAAGTCTGGTTCCAGTGCTACAAATCAAAGATCAGAACGAAGAGAACGCAGTGGAATACAGTGGTGGCAAGGTATCAGTAGAAAGTCGCCTCCTTACAGGTGCTTTGTAACATATGGCTTCCGTTTCTAGGATACAGATGGTATATTGATGGTTGGCTCAAGAGATGTATAAATTGCGTTATGTAGTAGAAATAAAATAACGCTTTCTTCTGGACAACATTTTGTCTTCGCATAGCAGCAGACGAATGAATGTTTGGGCAATGCACCTTTCTCAACTGAAAGTGCATCCAACTCTACCATCTATCGTATTTATTGTGGCCGGCCCCTAGCTAGTATTTCCAGTATTCAAACAGAAAAAAGTGTCGCATGGGAAAGCAATATGAGCCCGAAGTGATGAAAATGAACGATATTTTCAACCTATGGGAGGACTAAGATACCGCGAGTGGTTTTCAGCAGCACTGAAAGCATTGGGGTATCGAAATGAATGTGTCATTCGTGTTCAAGAGGACCATATTAAATAATAAATATATTCGTTCAAAAATACAATGTGTGTTTCTATGTTAGGCCCGAAAATTTTTGACACTACTGTATATTGTATTGAATCATAAACCTGTAGTGACTGGCTTTCAGCATCAAATTTCCGTTGTTTCTTTTCCAATAAATTATTACGACCATTTTGTTCATCCAAGAGCATTCGCAAATCATTCATCTCGCTGGATAACTTTTGAGCCTTACGCTTCCATTGACCGACAACTTGTCGTTGCTCTTCCACCTCTTCATATGCATCTGACAATTTTTTCTCCAGTTGTTTCTTCAAGCCAATCAATTGATCTAGAGGTAAATTCAATATGTTTTTTTAATATATTTATTATTTTAGTTAACTTAAAAAATGAGTCTTGTGTATTTATTAGCATAATAAAAGATTAATTTACCTAAATCATGATCGTGTTGAGTTTGTAATCGTCGTTTTGTGAATTCTAGTTCCTTTGCAACTCGTTCATATTTCATTTTATAGACACTGCTGTTAAGCCCATCATCATTTTCAGCATCTTCATCTTCGGAAATGCTGATGGTTAAAACACAAAAACCATTCATGAATTGAATAATTACATTTTTTTAAAAATAATGTCACATCTTTGAAATGAATAATAATGCACAACATAAAATAAACACCAAATTATATTATCAAAATGAAAGAAAGCAATTAAATTAATTTGATCACACATTTTCTTATCGTTCAATTAATCAACAAACTGACTCACCCATTTAATTCGGATTTAGCGCAAATGAGTTCCATCTCTAACTTCTCCGACATATCTTGCAAACTGCGCACTTTGTCTTGTTGTTGTTGCAGTTCTTTTTCCAATTTTAATCTTTCAGCTGTCTCAGCCTCAAGCCTTTCTGTCGTTATATTTGATGTGGACGTTAGATCAGTTAGATCGGCCGTCATTTCGGACAACTGAAATGAAAATGAATCGTATTAAATCAATTTGCTTTCAATGGGCGAAAAAAGTCGCCGAATTAGGATTTATTCAAAACGTATACCTATGTCACTTTTGAAATTATTTAACAAAACCACTTTAGTTTACAAATTTAGTTAATATTGCTTGAGTTGCTTGCCTTAATAGATAGGTTATGTAAATATCAACATTTTTTCATCAAAACTTACTTTAGAATTTTCTCTATTTGCGTTTTTAGCGAATTTTTTCCCTATAACGTTGAAATAGATAAAGAATCTCTCGACTAGCTAGGTAGAACATTTTTCTAGATAAAACATTCAATACTTGTGTTTGTAGATAATGTTTATTCTTTTTCCATTTTTTGGTGTTATCTCACATGCTATATTTAATGCCGATTGTATACCCAAAAAAGGGGTTTTCTATTATTTTTGTTAGTGTCGGTGTATTTGTCAACGAAAATAGGCTAATGATCCGAGGCGTATGCGGAGATCGTTAAGACACAACTTGTGGATAAATATGGCTATGCCATAAAACATTGAACTAAAGGAGAAGTGAAGTCTATATATAATGTCCGTGAAATGTGTGGAAATTCGTAGGAAATCCTATGGCTGCCTTTTTTACTCGCATTAATATGCACATTTAATATAAGACTAACTTTTTCACCAATTTCTTTGACCGAATTTTCCACAATAAGGAAGACATTTTATCATTTTTTTAATGGCGAATGTGTATAGACTTTACAGGAGTTAATCTTTAAAACAAATACTCAAAAAATAGCTTAAAACAACTACAATATTCAATGTCTATGTATCATATAAGTTGTATGTTAACTATTTTTATTTACTATTTAGGTATAGATTATTCTAACTATTCAAACATTTACATAAATCAAATATATCATGATATATTTCGAAAAAAAAGTGCGTCACCAAGACCATCCATCAATTGTGATAATTAAAAGAAGTTGAATTTATCACGTTCGTTATTTGTGAATAAATACACATTCATCAAACACATCTATTCTACTTGATAATAGGTTGATCATTTCACATGAAAGAAGCCTTGAGCTCAGGTTGTCGTTTATATTTGTTGACAAAACATATCAACTTCACATTACAATATCTATTTTCATGCACAACTAAGAAATTTGAGACATTGTTTAAGGTCAACGCAATTGTAACAATTCATTTAAAAAAATACAATATTTTCGTAGTTAAACGTAAGATTACGTAAATACGATGGTAAAAATATTCTGCAACAAACACTTAATGAACCGTGATTAATTAAATTCTGAATTTAACAAATAACGTTTTTATTTGAGACAAAAATCGAAATGCCATCCGAAATCCGAATTGTTATTAAATAACTAGTGCAGCACTCACACTGTCTTACGTGCTGCTTGCAATGAGAATAAGTTAGAACTGCGCACAAGCAAACCATTTCTTTAGAAAAAGCACACAAACGAAACCATACAATTATCCGCACATCAATAACTTCAAAAATTTTGCCTATAGAAGATTATTGAATGAAATTAGTGTTTTACTATCGAGCAACTACTAAAAATACTCAAGTGGAAAGTATTCAAATGAGTTAAAATCAATTTAACTTAATTCAGTAATTTAGGTGCATGTAATCTTTCATTATTTCGTGGAGAACAATTGAATGCTTGGGAATAATAATGAAACTTAATTTTCGTTCAAACTGAAGTGTCCCTTCGAAATATTTCCAATAAAAGTGTCCCAAGTTTATATGGCAAACTATATACAAACTTGGGACACTTTTATTGGAAATATTCCGAAGGGACACTTCAGTTTGAACAAAAATTAAGTTTCATTATTATTCTCAACCATTCAATTTTAAGGCATGGCGCAATAAGACCGCAGCCATACGAATTAACAAATTAGTGCAAAGTGGTATTTTACTTGTTTTATTCTAATGCATTTAATTTGAGTAGAGTGCTCAAAAAAGTGTGGGTACGCATCTAGGGGCAAATTACTTAAAAATTACCTTTCTATTATTTAATAGTTGTTATTGATTCTTTTTCGATTATTTCGATTATTTGTCGATTATTTTCGATTATTTGTCGATTATTTTAAATTAATTCTTTTCTTTTGTGATTCTCTCCTTAGTACGCATCTAATACAAACGATTCGATATTTTGGTTACTGGTTTGGACCTCATCAATTGCACAATCAAAAGTTTTCGATATATGTTAAATAATGCTCCGAACATGCTTAATTTGTATGAAACATACATAATGTATCCAAACGTTTTGTGAGACCATTATTTTGTTTATTGTGTTCCAAAATCAGATATGTAAAACTATAAATGGATCAATACAACATCAATGCAACAAATCGAAAAAACAACAAGGACGAAATTAGTTTAAACAAAAAATCTATACCATAGATGATGACGTAAAAAAATTAAGGGGGGGGGGGGGTTGATGGCAAAATTCTGTAGGGGGTTCCTGGATAAATCCATTGGGGGTCCCTGAGGAAAATATTTTAGGGGGGTCATCCGACCCCTAGGAACCCTCGTCATCACCTATGATCTATACTATGAATGTTATGTATCGTAAGACAACGATTGTATAAAAATAAATGACGAGCCGAGCACCAAGTAAATAATAGACATTAATCGTATTAATTCTATGACTAACTTTCAGTTTTTTATGAAAATAAATAAACAAACAAAATATTCTTATGATCTTCTTACATATTGAGAAACATCATATGTTTTTATTACCTCCTCGTCAATGATTGTGTCATTCTCGTCATTAGTTGTGGTGCGACTACTGTTAATGCTAAGAATTGACCCACATCGCTCTCGACAAACGGAACTAGAACGCTCCGTCGGAGGCATATTATGGGCCATTTGATAGGCTTTGGTCATGATATTTGTGACACTTTTCGACCTAGCCAAGCGTTTCGACATTTCGTTGTTAACATTGTACTGATCTTCAATAATGCTAATTACATCACAGGTATTTCGTGAAACAGAAGCAGATCGACGGCAATGATTTCGCCACTCTTCATTGATGTGGTCGGTGCGATTCAAAAAATCACTAATCTTTTCACTCAAATACCGCGATGCTGTCTCTACTTCAGATAAGTGTGCCGGTGATGGTCGGAATTGTTGATATACACGTTGATTCTTACATCCGAGCACAAATGACAATTTTCCGTCAAATATGGTTGATGCGTTGTCCAGCATTTGCAATTCACTCAAATCAATAGTTTTACATTCAGTATATGCTTGTGGAAAAAGTCTTCTCGGTGTATGTGATCGCAACGATCTACGTGAATCGAGTGAATTGTTGCTGGATTGTAAGAGTAATGGACTTGTTGATCGAAAACTCTGAAGCGAAGAGTTTCGCGACAACGACAAGAAATTGTTATTGTTGAAGTCAATATTGTTTGGAGTACGCGAAGGAGGCAATGAAAGTTTAGGAATATTTTTTGGTATATTTGACAATTTTTGTGTCTGTATCTGCGTTAAATCGTTTAATGTCGAAATAGGTGTAATTTTTCGAATAGTTTTTGGCACTTTTGGTGGTAACGGGGGTCGTGGCCTAATCAATTTTTCATCCTTTTCGTTATTTGCGATTGGATCTATCTTCACTACTGAATTTATTGTTTCTTTTACCAAATCATTAACCAATTGAGATTCTGAATGAGGCATTTTTTCAACAAGATTTTTTATTCACTTTTCAAACTTGTATAATAAAGATTTAGCACTTATTTCACATTTGAAACAAAATTCGTTTGAACAAAAATCGAAATATTCATCTCAAAGCAACGGGTGTGTGCATTATGAGAACGTAATAAACAGACTAAAAAGCGCGTTGAATCGTTCGCATTAATGAACAGCCGCTGATTTTCATTTGGTCATACTCAACGCTCAAACACGTAATGGGAGAGTATCTTTCACTATCTATATAACATTGTCTGAGAAAAGCTCCTTCGTTTCAATTTTATTTTATTTGTGTCGCCAGTTTTCGACGGTTTCGCTGAGACTTTGAAATTGGTGTGAGCACCAAACGCGATCGTGGTTGTTTTTTTTTGTAGAAAAATATTTTTTTTTTGTTTTCTATAATTCTATCTTGTTTTCTAAGTTGTAAGAGAAACAAGAATTTTAAAACATCGATCGCAATTTTACACTCGACTGTATAATTGGCTACCGGTTAAATACATATCTTAAATTAGATCAAAACTAATGCCTGCAACGGTTCAAATTCGAATTAGATAATAAACACAGTCTAACGCGTTTTAAAACATAAGCGCACAGTTTGGGTACCCAATGTAGGATGAAACGAGAACAACATGCTATAGCTACGTTACGAATTCGAATACGTAAAGAGAATAAAACGACAACAACGAAATAATAGTAATAATAATAATAATAAAAACAAAAACAAATTGAAAACGTAGAGAAGCGAAACAATTAGCGGCGAAAATGAGCGATGACAAAATATTATTTTTTGTTGCTTTCTATTGTGCAAAGTTGTACGAACATAAAATTACACTGCATGCGGATTATTTGAGATTCGCGTGAGCTCTTTCTTCTCTCTTGTCGTAAAAAAATCTAATAATATCACAAATCATCTGTACGTCAGATGCAACAACAATAGTCGATGGTATGAAGTAGAAACAAAAAAAGTAGTTTATATCAAGTGAAATCCACTGAGAATAAATGGCTTGCGTATTTGAATTGCAGGAAATGTAAATTTAAACCTGCCGACAGCAGAGAGAAAGAGGGAGACACATGCACAAACATTTTGCAGTATAGTGCATTGCGATGGTATCATGTGCATACAATCAGCTTGTGAGTTGTTGTTTTGTTCCTCTTAATTTTTTTCTTCGGTTCGTTTGTTTTGTTTTTGTCTCACGACGGTGTTCTTCGTGGTCAATGTTTTTTTTATTCTTGTTGTCATGGATTTAGTTGTGTAACAGCGTATGTCGCATGACCTCTATTAAGATCACTACGATGTACAACCGGTTGCTTGCCACATACAACAGCAGCAGAGGCAATTGTATAATGGGGCATATTTTGTTTTATTTATTATTTCAGACATCACTGTTCAACATACAGAAAGAATAATCATATATGATGTATACTGCATGTTGATTTTAAAAATAGTTCAACTTGAATGCTTACATCAATATATCGCGGCTATTCAGACTTATGTACAATTCGTTCGAGTGGAAACATAGAATGCGCAAAGCGGCATGGTAACCGCTACTTCATATATAAATTAAATATTGTTATTGATTTCAAGTTTTCTCTTACCAAAACATACATTAAAAATCTAGATAACATGTTTTCAATTCATAACAAGAAAACAAGTATACATTTTTCAAACTCAAGTTGATGGAGTCCCGTTATTTTTAACTTCCGATTCAATTGCTATCCATGAAATCATTTGAAATAGGTGCGTGTATAAAATGTTACATACCTTCAATTCAAGGCGGTTATTATCAGTCTTCAATGCATTTCGTTCGTTTTCATATTTCTCTAGTTTGCAGCGCAATGTTTGCAGTTCATCGCATGCCAATTTCAACTGTTCTTCCGTTCTATGAACATTCAATAGGGGTATAACACGAATAAATAAACGCCACCATGGCCAGTCACGCACCGTCATGAATGCACGCACATTTCGTTGAATACATTTCACCGCTAATTCTTGAACTCGTCGTTGTCCAATTCTTTTACGTATTATATAGCCACGGCATGCAGCTTGAAATTGTGTTATTCGATCAAAGAGTAGCTCATCGCGTGCTGCTTCCAATTGGTTCAAAATACCGCATCTGAACAAAACTAAACTAATGCCAATACGATACGTTGAAGGATCAATTTCATTAGATGTGAGAATCTCTTCAACAGATGTATTCTTCGAAGAAGCATCGCCAAGCAAACCAAAGCGGCGCACAAACTCGTTCAATGGAACAGTTTCAGGGAAACCCAAGCGATGAAGACGTGCTGCTTCAAGTATCTGCGATCCACGCAATTGACTTCGAAGCAATGGTATATTGACCAAGTCATCATAAGGATTAATAATATTACCATTGGGAGATGCGACGGTTACTGAACCCGCATTATGTTGCAGTAGCAAACAATGCACGAAATGTTTTTCGGTTCTACGAAGTGTGTCTATGATAAAGCTGTAAAAAATGAGGTTTTTGTTAAAACGCAAATAGAAACCGAAAATTATTATTGTACTTACTCCACGAAGAATTTTAACTGAAGCACGGAGTTTTGTTTGATACCAGCCGTCGCAAACGATCGTTTGATACTTGAAATTCGACGTAAAGAATGTGTACTTTCTGTGATACTATTAGAACTACACATAATAAAACCCGATCCACGTGTTAATGCTCCACTGAATAAACAATTTATTTCATTTTTGCTACTATCTTGCAGTAAAGTTGTTGCTAGTTTTGTGACCGCATGTTCCCTACTTTTCTTTACCCAACCATCAACCGAATACAGTACAGGATTTGTGCCTTGAAAATGCTGAAGCACGAATTGTTTTCCAATCGGTGAACGACGCAATAAATATTGATGCTCACGATCACCATAGTGCGAAAATAGACGTTCTAAGAATGAATCATCATTTGAACCTGGATACATAGACTCTTCGTCGAGAAGCCATAGTAGTCCCCTTCGATCTTGTTCACGTAAATCACGTTGTGAACCCCGAACCACATGATTTTGTGGTGCTTTATCAATCAAAGATACAAGCTGATTTGGATCGATCTCTTGTACGATTCCCTCCGTATTGATTTCGACTAGCTCTTGAGAATAACGGTTTTGTGGCGTCACCAGAGAAGAATGATGGAATAGGGATTGTAAACGCTCTTGTAGATAGTTGAAACGAAGATCAGATATTGTTGCACCATTTTGAAAGCCGCAGCTTGCACCATTTTGGAACCCAGGCGCATCGACCAATATAATAGATGCCACTGTATGAACAGAGCTGCAAATCGATTTATTTATCAGCCCAACAACAGCTGTCATAGCCTCGGAATATAGGCCAATAACTAAAGCTTCCAAACTATCCCATGCCATCTCTTCCATACTTCTACTGGTATCGAGCATGGTGGCATTCAATTGATTGCCATTAGAAGCGTTTGAAAAGGCAGCATTCGTCAAGTTTTCCATTGAAATTCCTAAAATGTCTGCAGCTTTTTGTGCGGCTATAGGATTTGCAAATTGAATCCGCATATTGTTACCAGTACCAACTGTGAAAAGGTCATGAAGTGAAATTATATTAGATTAATTTTCATTTTTAAAATTGTAATTATAAAATTGCTAACCTTTCGCAATGCCAGCTATTCCCAAATGAACTATTGAAGCTAAAACCATCCAAATCGCCTTGACATTTGAAGTTTCGATATTCAATGCTTCAAATGCTTGGACTAGGCGAATGAATTCAGCCGTTGCTTTTTGTTTTTCTTCCATTTTTTGTGTAATTGACACAAATGGATTGCTATTATCGAAAACGAGTCGGTCTAATCCGAGTTCTTTTTGCAAAGAACCTTCTGCACCCACAACTAAACGTGATAAAACATGAAATGACTGATCACTTCCTGAATGACGACCAGCTCTCGATTTTTCGGCGAGTAAAATCTGTTATTAATAAAAAAAACATTTAAATTCAATTCATTTGTTTTTGATGAAGATTTTACCTGAACCGAAGCATTTGCAATCATACCGGTGTTGTCAAAATCTAAACTAAAAAGTTGCGTGAATCGTGTTGCATTATTGTTCATACATGTTTTGGTATTTCCAAACGCTTCTAATATGGTATTAATTGAATTAATTTTTTCGACTGTTAAAATTTTATTTGTTGAACCAGCGGCGAGTACCAAATAATAAAGAGCGTGCTTGAAACTGGTCGTTTTACCACTTCCCGATCTTCCTAAGAAAATAAGACTTTGATCACGGCGTGTTTCTAGCCTGAAAATAATAATAATAATAAAAAAGTAATGATTAGTTTGAAAATAATAATAAACATAGGGGGGAGACACCAAGAATAAATTCCGAATCCACTATATAAATTACTAATCCAGCTATTCCACTAATCCAAAAACACAAAAGTGGAATCGAAACTTTTTTTCCTATTCCATGCACTGTTTCCGTCAAAAATGTTAATTCTGCTATTCCACACTATTCCACACTATTCCACTAATCCATCAATAAACGTCAAAAGAAATGTCAAATGGATTTGAAGTGAAACAATTTTTGCTATTCCATGCACTGTTTCACTATTCCACGCGAATCCATTCACGTACGTTGCTATTTCATTGAAATTTCTCGAATCTTTACACTAAAAGTCTAATCCTATTCCACGTGTCTACCCCCTAGTAATAAACGAGATAAAATTATAATAAAAATATCAAATTTACAATGATCGATAAGCTGATTGTGACGTTGAGTAAATGTGTGGTGGCATATCTTCACTTTTACATCCTTTGAACATGGACACAACTTTCTCTGAATATAATGATAATGGTGCCATCGGGTTAACTACAATCAACGATGGTCCAGCCATGGTGTGAATCAAATTATTTGCATAGCGCTGACGTAAACAATGTAGTACAGATGCTTCATTCAGATGCTTTAGCTGGACTAGATCTTCAACTAGATCTAATGAATGCGGGTTGGCCTGTTCCAAATCATCTTCATCGACGATCATTTGTTCACCATTGTGCAATAGCTGTACACAAACTTTTTGTAAATCACTGATTTTTTTTGAACATTTTATGGCAGCAGCAAAACCATTACGGTGTATCAACCAAAATTTATCCTGACTGACATCATCGCTGGACTGATATTCGGTATTCTGAAATTGAAAATAGAATTAAATTAAATATTGATATAAAATACATGTGATGTCAATTCTATGTGCATTTTGCACTTAACTAGAAGAAACTTACGTGATTCTTGAAACGTTTGCTGGCACTTCGTTTTAACGTATTACAATTGGTTGCTTTGTCGGTGACATCAACACCGGCATCGTTAAAATGCATACATCGCCTTGACAACTCCACCAGCTCCGAAACCGGTTGAACTTCCACCTAAAAAAAATCATGTGGCTTATAATATCATTTCATTTAAATTATAATTAAGTTGAACTTCCACTGATATCTGTTCCTCGCTGTTCTTAATCATTTCGATTATTGTTTCTCTTGGCAAATTCTCCACACAAACACCGTTCACTTTGATCAATCGATCGCCTGGTAAAAGTCCCGTTGTATTGTTGCTATTAGTACCTAAAGTAAGTATAAAAAAGCGAGAGAGATTTTCATGAATATATAGGATAGAGAGGAATGCCCTGGAATATTGGGGATCTATCCACACTATGATTTGACAACATTGTTCCATTCTAATTTCAATAAATCGATATTAAAAAATAAAATACATTCGAATTTATAACTAATTCTCACCGGGCTCAGCAAATATCACCGGTTTAAAGGATGGTGCCATTAATGATTCATTTCGATCCAAACATATTGCCTTTCGTAAACTGAATCCAAAATCATTTCTTGGTTTTTGTCTTTTAATAATCAGAGCACGAGGTGCTGGCAGTCGAAGTAATTTAATGGGTGGCAACGGTAGTTCAACACCATCGAATGTCTGCACACGCGACCAACGATGAAAACTTTGTGATTCACCAACCGGACTGAATAGTATGATTTAAATATAATGATAGATAGACAAACTTAGAATATTTTAAATATTTTTATCAATACCTCAACGAAAATGGGGGCGTAACAAACGATGAATTCGTCGTATCTGTCAAACTCTCTGCGCTTGGTGATGCCGATGTCATTATCAATAAATTTAAATTTGAGTTCTAAACAAATAAGGAAAAAGTGAATAAAAATTACTAAATAATTACCACATTAATTAAATTCAAACTTATAACTTAATGAGAGTTAAGCCCGAACAAAAGTGCAAATGCTCGCAAAGAGTTTTCATTCAAGTCATAAATTAGGTGGGCTCAACAACATTTTATGTGAACGAATTGCTTTTTGTTGACTATTTCAATATTATGCTGTTTCAGGCAAATATTTGTTCCTCTTATTTGTATTACAATTTATTTTGGTTATTTATTCAATTAAAATGTCGTAGGCATTTCTTGCCACTATAGCTCGTGGGTTTGAATTTCATTTTATTTGGACGAATTATTAATGGTTCTTACCTCTTCTGAGTTATGATTCTCAGTTGATGATCGCTTGTTTGATACGTTTTCATAGGTGATTAGTTCATTATGTAAAGTGTTTTTCATGAGTGTTTCAACTGTTGTATCTGTAGATGTATTCAGACTATTTGCTGTTCGATTTTGTAAATCTCTTGATCCAATACTGGTGCGGGGACCTTTCAAAATTCCACGCTTTGGTGGGACTGGTGGTAGAACTCGGACCTTTTATTCAACACAAAAAATTAATCCGATGAGATGTTGCTTTCTTAAGAACGTTTATTGTAGACAAAAGTCGATTTTACTCTAAATAAATGAATGTTTCCCGTTTTGTATAGATTGAAAAATAAGAAGAGACAAGAAGTTTATTGAACGGTGCTCTTACAACTGATTTTATTCATCAAGACAACCGTTGCTTTGAGCTTTAGAACTAATATAACAAAACTAAAATGGCATGGAGATGGAAAATGAAAAATACTATTATATAAAATTATCCAATTCAGCCAAGTGAAAAAAATCGGAATTTATTTTAAACACAAAATACGCACACGTAGCCAAAGTTAATGATCATAACTAAGTTAAAATGAAATAAAGAGTCTTACACTAGTAAGACGAACTTTTCTGCACGGTGGTACATGCGTATTTTATTAAGCTAATTCAAAATAATATTTGTTCGATTTTTAAAGCTTTTCAAGCGAAACCATAAAGTTCGAAGTCAAAACATATTTTCGATATTTAGAGATTTTTCACACATTCATCATGAACCCATTTGTATGACATTTAAAAGTATCCTATTTTCTAACAAAACGCTATAAAATGATGTGGATTTTTGTATGGCAATCATGCTAATACATCAAAAAATAACATGTTTGGCATTTTTGAAAGTCTCCTTGCGATTACCACCGATTGAATTTTAGAGGGAACAAAAATGCCAAACATGTTATTTTTTCATGTGTTTCACCAAAACGGATGGAGCATCTCGATATCATATACTTTTTTATTTTTGGGCCAGTCTAGTGTTCAAGTAAACATAAAATATGACTTTTGGAAGAAAATTGGATTTTTTCTCTAGCCCATCAACCAAAGTCGCTAAAAATGTAATGATTTTTATTCCTCGCAACCCCCAATCATCATGTAAAGTCTTAGAATATCTAAACAACGTTTCTGGGGGGATGGTAGTCGTGCTAATTTTGTGGGAAGAGACAACGAACAACCATGCTCAAAACGGCCTGTTTCAGGTTCTGGGTACATGATTTTGAGGTGTCGTAAATGTAGACACATTGCAATACTTTCCCCTTACACACTAGATGTGAGCAAAAGTAAAAGATCGCATGTAATAATAGTAAAAATGGCACGAGAAAACTGAATCCGATTAAAGTTTTCAGATACAATCAATTTTCTACACACTTTTCACACGAAAATCACAAAATTTTTGGATTTTTTCTACAAACTTTCAGAATGTTATTTTTTGTGACTTTGAAAAGTGTTTCAAAAATATTTTCATGGCAAAACTAACATCAAACATATTTTTTTAAGCGTTTGGTTAGAAAATAGAATGAAACAATGCCATACAAATGAATTCATCATGAAAGTGTTAAAAATCTTTTGCGAATACTTCTGCATTTAAATTAAAGAATATTTCTATGGGGAACATATTTTTTGGCTTCGAACTTTACGCTTGAAAGACTTAAAAAATTGAACAAATATTATTTTGAACTAGTTAAATAAAATACGCAGTGGCTTTTCGATACGACATCTGCCGATACGACAAAAAATTGAAAAATGCACAAAAATGAATTTTGATAAAAATGGCCGAAACTATAAAAATTCTTCTACATAGGCTACGAAATTAGTGACTAATTTGTGACTATACGTAGGTTGCTCCATATATTTCTAGAAAAGCATATACAACGCAATCGTTTTTTATCAAAAATGGCTTTATTGTTTTTCAAAGTATTCGCCATGATGGTCGATACACTTTTGCATACGCTCCAACCACTTGCCGTAGCATTCGATACTTAAGATAGTTTCTGGAACAATAACCGATTTTGGACGACCTTCACGGAATTCGTCGATGAGCGAATGACGACCACGATTGAATTCAGTAAACCAGTGATAAACAGTGGCCTTGCATGGAGCTTCATCGCCAAAGATCAAATGAAGTTTTTCAAAACACTGTTGTTGAGATACACCCAATCCAAAGTCGTAGTAAATTATCGCACGAAAATTTTCACGAGTAAAATTCATTTTTTTGTTGAGACGCAATTTAGATGTCACTGTAAACAATACAAATAGCGCGCGTATGACAGAACGTTCTGAGATCGTTTATGCTACCAAATGTTAAACTTAACGAATATGACAATGGTTTGTATCGGACAACACTAAATATTGCCAATTCTAGAAATATATGGAGCAGCCCTCGTAAAAAACAAAAATGTCATCATTTCTATTTGTACAATTTCACTGAAGTTTGACTTTCAATGAGAAAATCGAAAAATTGTGATTTCTGTCACACACGTTGTGTCACAAATTCAAATGTTGACATTTTTGGAAGTCACAAATTGGTCAATAAAAGATTACACCATTTCTTTGGATCTAAGTAGAACTTTTGGCCAATTGTCGAAATACTATAGTCACAAAGCTTTCAAGGCAATCGCAAAAAATGTCCAGGCTGGATAGAGGGAGTCGTATTTAAGCTTTGAAATTATCTTCTAATATCCTTCCAAATCCACAATTTGAGTACATGAGCATGGAAAAAATTTCAGCCAATCAAAAACCCTATCAAATCGAAAGTATTTTTTCTCTAGAAAACCCTTAGCTTAACGAAATTTCTTCGATTTTTTTATTTAGCAAAAAAGGTTCACTTTTGTGTGAAGAATCCCAAGCAAATCGAAAGATTTCTCGGCTGCATCCATGCGTACGCCCCGCTGTGCCCATTTATGAATATAGAAAATTCTCTAAACGAATACGTAATAGCAACAAAATTAGCTTGAGTGAAATGTAAATGCATGAAAAGAACGCAAAGAGAAACACGAAAAACCGACGATGTTAAATTACATTGATATTGGTAGTTAGATACTTGTATTGGCTAGACTTTTCTTTTTTGGAGACACATATCCAATGAGTGTGTTGGCTATACAAAGCATACGCCTTGGTTTAGAGTTCATGTGGTTAATTTATCATTTCTTCCACATAATATGTTTGTCTATTATCTTGACTTGTAATCATCAATCTGAATTTGGACAATTTTTTAACGAAATAATCTAAAGAAATCAGGAAATATTTTTAAAAGAATGATCTCAAGAATTTCTTCTAAATTAAAGTAATAACACAATTACCTTATTTACACCAACAGATTGAAGCGATGTTTCGGAACTATCCGAATGGGAAACATTAATCGACACAACATGATCGCCAGCATCACTGTTGTTATCGATTGTTGCATTTGCATCAGCCATAACTTCTTCGACACCACGATCGCGTTCAACATCCCGATCCAAATGAGCAAAAAAATTTGCACTATAATCAGCAGTTATACCACTCGGTAATTTCTCTTTTTCTTTGCGACGACCACGGATTTTTAATGATCTTCTCACCTAAAATCAATTTAAGGTAGAAAAAGTTCGTTTAAATTTCTTATTTTTTTTTTTTTTTTTTGGTTTTTCATAGTATTTATTGTTATTCAAAATATGTATTCTGAACATTTAACGGATGTTTATTGTTTTTTTTTTCGTATCGGTATTTATTCTAGATGATTTTTAGTGTCTTTTTTTTGTCGTAGAACCAAAATTGATTTGGTATTCAGCTTGTAAAATGATGATTGTTCTTAATTTTCTTAGTTTAAATTGTTTATTCATAAAGTGATTTGATTTGACACAGTTCAAAACTAATGGAAAAAACTGACATGTTCATTTGTATGCAAATTGAATTTTAAAATAGGTTCTATATGGTTTTGTGTTTGATTACGAACCCAACGGACAAATATGTAACGTTTTTAGGACATGTTAACGTTAAAAAATGTAACGCTTTGGCCCGGTTTAGTGGTCATTTCCTTATCAAAAGGAACGTAGATTTTGTGTGTAGTTTCCAGTATATTTACAACTTCCAATGGAATGATTCGTTCCACTTGTTTACAACCATACAAAAACATACTCTGACCGTATAATATGATCGCCACCCAATATGTGTATTGTACGTTAAGTTTTTGTATTTCAAATTTAATGATTTATTTACCGCAAGAAAATCCATTCTCTGCAAACAAATTAGATTTGAGTGATTTGATTTAATTTTCTGCAGAAGAATTTTTTTTTAAACGGCACTTGGCATTTATTTTTTTAAATACTTTCGTATTCATGAACGTATATGAATTTCGAATTTCGAAATCTGAAAGACATTCGAATTGAATTTGACAGTTGCCGTTCAACCATCGTCACTTTGAAAAAAGATGCAAACATCATAATTTGTTTACATTTTAAAATGTGCTTTGTTGTGAGAATGCATTGTGGATTTTTAGTTCAAACAAACAGAATTCTTTCTTCTAATTTCAACGTAGATATTGTGAATTTGCAAAGAATAGATTTATTTACGGTGAATTTTGTGCTTGTTCTTGTTTTGTTTTTAAAATAACAGAACATTTCCAAAGTCACACAGTAAGAAATCAAAGCGGCATTACAGTGTATTTTGTATCGAATTGATAGGAGGTTCATTTTAATTGTGTGGAAGTGCATTCTTCATTTTATATGTCTTTGTTGTGTGAATTTGACTGTGTATTAACTTCGAATTTGATGCCATTGGATTTTTGACTGTCAGAATATTGCGAATCGAATTCAGTTTAGCGAAAAATCCTCACAAGGCAAGTTGATTTAAACTGTTTGGCCATTCAATCATTGTTATTGTTGTACTCTCTATTGTGTGTGTTTTGTGCTTTGAAATTGCGATTTGACGTTGTGTGTAACCTTCAATTGTTTATATAATTATTTAACGCATTTTTTCTTTCTTTTTTCCGTTTTTTTTTTAATTTTGAAATAGACTGCAAAATGGGTCGCCACAAGGCAGCAGATCCAAACGCCGACCAAAGGTGTATAAAGCAAGGACTGCCATCAATTATCCGAGAACGATATCACGATGTTATTATCGTGATCATTTCTATTCTGTCTATCAAAGCAACGAAAATTGCGTGCCTGGCATCATTACTCTTTCTCATGAAAGTAAGTTCAAAAATTTCATTTGTTTCAGTTTTTTGCTTTGAATAAAAAAAACATCAACTTCTTTTTTAATATTTCATCATAAATTCATCATATCATCCGAAT